ACGGTCATTTTTATGCCACCCAGTTTAGGGCAATTTGTTTCAGTAGGTAAACATAGATGGGAGGGAGAAGCTGGCCCTGACGTGGAGACTATAGGCTTCCATGGGAGTGGAAAGCAGGCGCAGACTCCCCTGTTGGCTGTAGATCAGAGGTATGAGCCATCAGTATCTCTGCTTGGGTACATTGTTAGGCCTTGCAGTCATTCCTCCTGAGGGAAGGGCCTGTCAGCTAACCTGAGTCCTGTTTTCTTCGTGCTGTTACCCTCAGAGCAGCCCGGGATCACTAAACCAAACTGCCCTTTGAAGAGTCAGGCCCTTGGCTGAGTGCTGAAAGAAAGAGGAAACGGCCCCACTTTGTCTGTTTCACAACTCCGCCCAGGGCCTGTTTCCCCAAGAAGAGACAGCACGTATCAGCTCTTTCTTACATGAAACCCGGGAGTGCATTGCCCAATGCTGTCTTGCACAATCCTTCCTAGGGCTCACTGCTGATTTTTCTGCCTTAAACTTTGACTGCCCTCTATGTTTATTTCCTGCTGGGAAGGTAATTCAGGGAGCCAACTTAGTTAACTTTTATCTGCTTAATCCATTGGGTGCTCAAAAAAATGTTGACAAATAGATTTTTATCTTTGCAAGCAAGTAATGGGGGATGCTGTATAGGACATCACCGGGAATTAGGCTCAGATTTGTTCTTCTTAGTGCTGGGAATGTTGTCAACAAAGACTTTACTGGAGCCTCCCACTCTCAGAGCTTCCTGTGTTTCAAACAAGCTGCTTTATCCAAATTAATGTCTTCCCTGCACACAGCCTTCATTTAAGGACTGGTCAGTGCAGATGTGTGAAGGCCTAGCCCGCTTAACTCTCCTCATAGTTATCTCCCAGGAATCTCCTGGATCCAGAACTTCCACAAGATAGGATGAGGTCTGTGCGTGGACTGTGACTGGGCTTCTCCTTCTGTCCTGTTTGTGTCCTGCCTTGTCAGTCTTGGTCTTAACAGTTCCAACATCTCAGCAGACACCCTGCACACAACCTCAGCCCCAGGATCTGATTCCCAGAGGTCTTGACAGAGATGTCCTTCAACCTGACACTATTTATAAAAGAGATATATTATCCACACTTACATATGCTGACATCGAATCTGAAGTGTGTGGTACAACAAGGAGTGAAAAAGAAAATGTCAGCCGGAGTCTGTGCTGTCTCTGTGTAGGCCTGGGGCTGGGCTGTGCTATTGCTCATTGAAGGCTCATGAGTTCTGAGCATAGGTCTCTTTCCACTAGGGTTTCATTGAATAAGATAGATGTGGCCATGGAATTTGATGAAGTTCTAAAGTAAGTTAAATGGGCCTTTTAAAAGGGTTCTGAGTTTAAAAGTGTGCCTGAGTTCTTTCCTCACATTGTGACAAAAAGTATCTGACAACTGAAGGAGGAAGGTGTTTTTGTTTTTTTTTTTGTTGTTGTTGTTGTTTTTGTTTTTGTTTTTTGGACTTGTGTGATGGCAGAGTCCATCATAGTGGGGAAAGTGTGGTCTTGAGAGAGGCTTTAGCTGTAACATCAGGATCATGAGGCAGCTGGTCACAGAGCACCTATGGCCAGGAAGCAGGGAGCTGAACACTGCTCCATAGGCTGCTTCTTTTCTTTCAATCTGGCATCCAGCCTGTGGGATGGAATCACCCACACTGGGGATAGGTCTACCCTCTCCAGTCAAGCCTCTCTCTCTGGAAACATAGCCACAGGCAACCTGTAGGAGTATCTCTATAGGGATTCCAAACCCAGTTGACATTGACGATGACCTACCTCGGTCAAGTTGACCAACTATATGCACCTCAGTTATGATGTGATGGGAAGTTACTTGGCCTCTATGGTCTTCCTCACAAAACATAACTGAGAGAAAAGCCAACTGAAGGAAATTCTACAGGCTACCTCACTGGTTGTCAATATTACCAAGGCTACCAAAACAAGAAAAGACTGAGAAAGTGTCACAGCCAAAAGAAGCCCAAAGACAGGTGACAACTCACTGCAATACGGGACCCTGGATTAAAAAGTAGATGCAAGGTAAAAACAAAGTAAATCTGAGCAACCACATTCAGTTCATATAAATGCATCAGTATTGGTTCAGTAACTGTGGTAAGTGGCAATGCATGGTGGTGCACACCTGTAATCTCAGCATTCAGGAGGTTGAAGAAGGAGGGTCAGGAGTTCAAGACTAGCCTGAACTAAATAGCAAACTCACTGTCAGTGGAGACTGTATCGCTAGACTCGGTCTCAAAAAAAAAAAAAAAAAAAGCAATCAGAAAATCGTAATAAGTGTATCATCCCCATCTAAGATGTTAGCCATAGATTAAACTAGGAAAAGGATATATTCGAATTCTATTTTTGCATATCTAAAATTCATCTATGATAAAAGAGATTTAAAAATTAAATTTAAAAAGCACAACCAAATTTCTACAAGTATTGATGGCTCCATCTTGGGCTCAATATACATGTAACACGATAAATAAAAGATCCAGTGACAGAAATTGGGGTTCAACCTGAAGATCAGGGAAGCAAAAGCAGCTGGCCACTAGCTCTCACCTCTAGTTCAAGCTGGAAGGGCTGATCCAAGAACTCTTTATCAAGTCTCAAACTGCTGCCTTTCCTCAGTGTGGCTGTAGAATACATGCTAGATCCTCAGTGTGACGGGAGGATGGATGCTCCTGTCTTCAGTGTGGCTGGAGAATGCCCGATACTGAGTCTTATATACCACTCATGCGTCCTGGGATTAAAGGTGTGAGCTATAATTTTCTTTTAGATTGATTCAATCTTGTGTAGATATGGGTGGCCTTGAAGTCAGAGAGATCCATCTACCTCTTAATACTGAGTCCTAGGATTAAAGGTACTTATCACCTGTCCCGCGCTATCGCCTCGCCAGCAAGAACCACACAGGACATTCGGATCCTTCTGCAGTAAAGCTTTAATGCATCTTGAGAGGAGAGCATAAGCTTACCAGAGCGGAGACCCCGAGCCAAGAATCCCGTCCCCTAATAAAGGCTGGCAGCCGCCGCCTGGGACGTGTCACCCTATGATTGGCTTCAGCTCATCAGGCCATATGATGCCACGGAATAGGCAGAGATCAAGGAATGGAAAATTACCCAGCGCCTGCGCAATAATTTACATTCAGTGCCTGCAGGTGCCATCATTGTAATGGAGAATGCAGGGACGGCTCCCTACATCTCCCCCTTTTTTTTATTAATTAATGATAAGGCTTTATATTTTTACAAGCAAATAGGTCACCCATATGTTGAGGGATAGAGGCAGAGGTTGTACCTTCCCAATCAAACATTAAGACTGTGTACAAGAGTCGCCATCAGGCTGTTAGCTTGACCCGAAGCGCTCTCGACCTGTCCTCTGCCGTTTTTTTGGGAAAGGGAGACTAGGGCAGGCAACCCTTATGCAGGACAACATGCCTCCCAGAGAAGCCTGCATACTGGGCAACTCTCTGTGCGATGCCTTGCTCAACATCCCTCATGGGCTGCTCAAATCAGACACTCTACCCTGTGCAATGAGCCTAGGCTCCGGGTGTGCAAGAGCTGTCTGGCCGGCGGCCTATTGCTTAAGCATAGTTAGCCAAATATCAGTGGAAGCCCCT